TCCATTGTATCCCGTGCTTCCCTTCAGATGTTGACGTCTTCATGATCCAGTCGATCACCAGGAGAAAGAGAAAGGGTGAGAGTAAGCAACATTGCCTAACACCGGTCTTCACTTCGAACGACTTTGTCAACTGTCCTCCATGCACAATTTTGCAGTTTAATCCATCATATGAACTCTGTATGATATTGACTATCATCTGAGGCACGCCGTAGTGTCGAAGAAGTTTCCATAGTGTTGTTCTGTCCACGCTATCAAATGCCTTTTCGTAGTCAATGAAGTTGATATAGAGTGATTCTTGTTTATTTAATGCCACCATAAAAACAAATTATTTTAATAAAATGGTAAGGGAATTATGAATAAAAGCGTTGTTTAAATAACACGAGACAATAAAATGTAGAAATAAAGAATAGTTTTATACACACATGTCATTCATTGTAACCGATTTTGATTTCTGTGACATCTCAAGATTCTAAAATACAACATCAAGAAGTTTTCTTGCATGATTGACAATCAAAGAATTTATTGGTTAATATATTGTTTTGTCTAGTGGTTCTACTTTCTTTCCAACTTTTCATTACTAGTGTAACTTATTTTCCATAAAAATCGAAATTCACTTATAAACTTGTATTTTGTTTATCATAGCTACAGTTTTCTTAAAATGTCGAATTTAGGAAAACACTTTGGAATATCGTCCAATTTTAACGGTAAATTACTTTTTTCCAACTATAAATATACGTATGTAAATGAGAGAACAGCTTAAAATCTCACACAAAACTTTCCAGTAAATTCCTAGCATTCATAATTTCATTATATTTACATAAAGACATTGTTACTTTCCTTCACTTGTTACCTACATCCATTATCAATTTTGTTGATCGAGTTTTTCTCTCATATGTAGATAGTTTCTTAAAGAAATTGATAGATGAAAACTTGTAATTATCTTATTATCTTCTATGGTTAAATTTTACTTCTGAACTCTTATTGACCCTGCTGTTTATAATTCCCATTACTTAATTAGGGATTAGATAACACGTCGATTCAAAAGATCTGTCGAAAGGACGTTTCACTCCACCAAGCTACACATAATTTTCTCAACTAAACCAGTACTCACACAACTAATCAAGGATAGGTTACCGAAGATCGGCTAATCCATGTTTGTATACCAATTCAACTGCTCTTGTGGAGCTAGTTACATAGGCCGTACTCAGAGGGTTTTATCCTTGCGTGTTCGTGAACATGTACCAGCATGGTTGGGAAAAGGAGCTTCTAAATCGATTAACAGCACTATTCTTTCACACTTCAGATTCCAGCGGAGGAAGAAATAAGGAAGAAGTGCTGGAAGTGGATAGGACACACATTGAGGAAAGCAACCAACTGTGTCACAAGGCAAGCCCTCACATGCAATCCTCAAGGCCAAAGGAAAAGAGGAAGACCAAAGAACACATTACGCTGGGAAATGGAGATAGACATGAGAAGAATGAACAAAAATTTGATGGAATTAGAAAAGAAGGCGGAGGACAGAGTGGGTTGGAGAATGCTGGTCGGTGGCCTATGTTCCATTGGGAGTAACAGGCGTAAGTAAGTAAGTCAGTCTTTCACACTTGGTGAACATCATATCAAAATAGAGAAAGCTTTCTCTGTTTTATATCAAGTTCCAAAATATCTACCTCTAGGAGCTAGATTATGATTGCTCTACATAGCCGAAGCCATCTGGATCAACTTCAGAAAACCAAACTTATGTATCCAGAAAAAGTATATCCAGCCTCTATGTTTACCCTGGCCCACGACTGGATCACCGGATATCTAAACTGAATATTATAGACATCTCACCACCTCTTTTTTTGATTACCTTTATCTTAATCTTCACATCCATCATTCTCAATTCGTTTATGGTAATTACCTTGATAACACCCCCCCTTATTACATATTATATTCACACAACAATATTATTATTATTATCTCAATTGACAAGATGAAATTCTCCTACTATGCATTTTATTCACACAATTTTTTTTGCATTTTCATTTTTGCTATAATACTATTCTACTTATTGTGAATGGACACTTTACTCCAAATCATTCTGACCTTTATTGAATGACCTAATTTACAAACAATACAATTTTGAAGTAATATATATGTCGTAACATACAAACGTCCACCATTTTTAACATGACATTTTCAAATTCGTTAATACATGCCTTATTTTGGGCCTTTGTAAAATATAATTATGGACTTATAACTGTAGAGCGTGATGATGAAGTTATTGAAAACAATTGTTCGCTCAAATATTCTTCATTTTGAATATTCTATGGGGATTTTTAAGCTGATCAGATAACTGTTTAGCAATAATAAACTGAATATAACGCCTCATGTCTAACTGGATTTCTGTACATTCGGATCATCCATTGGTACTGGGAATTCTCACATTTATAAAATTATCCAAGCACAATTAACTAATTCACTTCTAATAGAAGACTGTTAAGTTGATATATGAACGCACAAATATAACGCTGCTTACTCGTCTCGTAGACTGTTGAAGAAGTATTGCGGATATCAGTAAGTCAGAAGGTACTTCAATAGTTCAAGTTCGTTTTACTGTATTTTGAAAATTTTATTTATTTGTTCGTTCCTATTGGATCATTTGTTTGCATTTAAAAGTTAATTCTTACAAATCCCACTGAATAGTAAATCATTTTCATCATGTTTTAGTTAATTGTAAATCCCCGTTCCACTTGTTCGGAGTTATTTCTCTTGACATTAACTCTCCGTTTTTTTATTTAATCTTAAGTTAACTCAGGTCGGTTATTCACTCAGTTGAATGAAACAATTCTTTGATATTACTTTATACTGTTTGAAATTTAATTGTTAGTAAATTTCAGCGTTTTCACTGTACTTGTACATATTTATACCACGTTCTGTATTATTTATAACTGAGTGACTGAACTAATTCGTTTACTTAGCCCATTAAATTCAAAACTTACCCATGATTATACATATATATGCAGTAATTTTACGAAAATTCTGTATTTCTATTCATGAATTTGTTACGTCCTTGATTCGTTTGCCCACTAGTATATACACGAGAGAATTTGTCCTTGAATCAGATTAAAGCAAAAAGACATGAATATATGGATGCCTAACATGATCATAACGCACGAACAATTAGAAAAATACCGTTGTCTGTCAACTTAAAAATTCACTGTACGTAGTATGTTGATAATCTCTGCTAATTTAACCTGGGCCGTATATGATGATTTGATATTTACAAAACTAAATTTAACCTTACTAAAACTTGTAACTAAAGGCTTTATCGAGTCAATCTCCATAGGATACATAAATACCAAGAAGGACTGATCAAATGTCAATAATGGGATTATTCAAACTCTCACATAGCTTCATACTCATTGAACGATTCCGTGGCTGTCTGAATCCACTAGCTCAGTGGATAACACGCCGGCGTTTGTAGAGAAAGGTAGTAGATTCGAATCATTATTCGAACATTAACTCTGCTATACAGGTGTAGTGTATACTACTTAGACGGACAGATATAAGTGGTATGTATCAGGGACTGAAATTAGTATTCTTATTAACAGAGAGGAAAAATGAAAAGAGAAATTAAAACTGAAGCAGTTGAAGTAGCAACAGAAATGGAAGAGCAATAGAGTGTGTACGAGATAATTCAAGGAAGGCGTGTAAATGGTTTATTCTATTGTTTTCATAATTTACATATGTGGTGTGTAACTTTGTTTGACACAATAAATTAGTTTATTAAACCAAGACTGCGTTCATTACTCAGATACATAAAACTGATAGATCCCAAGTAGGATAATACATTCATACTGATTTCAGTTTTGGCCACAGTCCGACTTCCCCAAATCTTTGATTATTTACTAAAATTTTATACATTTATATTTACAATGAGTAAATTAGCCTTTAGCTATCTGAATAATGTTTTACCTGTTGACTTTTATTGTTATTTAACTAATTACACAATTCATATCTTTCAAAAAGCATACGCGTAAGTAATCTGTATCTTGTCAATATTTTTGGTAATCGTTTAATTTCCGGTGCCAGCTTTTTCTTTTCTTTCTGCTATCACCTTTACGTCTGGTTCTGGAAAATTATTCTGTTTTAACTATATTTTTGTTGTAAACATTTTCACGTCAGTATATTGTGGTTGCTGTAATGGTTTAAGATAATTTCAAAAGGAAAATGTCACTTGAAAAGTATTTGAAATTAATATAACCTATCGTTGGTTATTGTTAACTCACTTGCCTTGTACAGGTTTGTTTACTTGACTTCAACTCATACTTTAAGTTTAAGGACTAGAATTACTATTTAGTTACCTAAACCGAAGGTGTAACAGCGAAGTAAAAACCCACGTTGGTACGTCGAAATAACCTTAGCCATCGAGTAGTTGCTGCTGTTTGACATTTAAAACAAAGGGACATTTCTACAGGTATCAGTGTGACTAATTTTTCTATATGGAGTTGTTGAGATCGTTGAGTTTTATTGAAATCACTAACTGGTTTGAGTTAGACAGCCATTGAAAAAGTGTAAGTACTAAAAATCAGTTTCATCTTTATGTGGAATTCGCCGGAAGAGCTCATCCACGACTCCACATTTAGGATCCGAACTCGGGACCTTCAGTCTCGCTCGCGAACGCTTGATTTCTCGACAATTGAGCCGGTATACAATAGTGGATATGTTTAACCTCGATTAATCCACGTTAATGCGCAACCATCTTCCATTGTCTTCAGTTGGTATCGTTCTCACGCTCAATACAGCTGAACTGCACTGGTCACGGGTTCCTATTAAAACTCAGTGAATGAATAATCTTCGTTTAAATTAATCTAGTATAATTATCAATTTTGGTTTTGTGCTTCTTTTTAACACAATAAGTATTTCTGATACATTTAACATTGTTGGTCATTGATTCCAGTTAGGATCCTGAGTTAATCAGATGTTTTCACTTTTTTTTCACATCTACACATCTTTAGATTCGTTTGGACAACTTCCTTTTAGTCAATCCAACAATCCTTGTCTGGAGCTTTTATCGTTTGATAAACCTGACGAACCAACTGCAAATTCTCCGGTTGAATTTTTGTCTAACCCACTTAAACGTGTACGCCATCTTTGAAAAAAAAAAACCTAGATGTCTTATTTTCAGATTATCTATACGATGTGATGCGTGCTTTTATCTCATTCTTTTTAAGATATATGTATTCTCTATCTTATGAACGTGGAACAATTATATCTCGTTGTATTTAATGCACTGTTTCGCACGCTTTCATAGACATTCACTATGTCAATTTCATGTACACATATGAATATATATATTTCCACATAAGTCATCGAACCTTTTTTCACAGTTTCTTATCATTCTCATTCATCGTTTATCCTTCTGTTTGTTTTTATATTTCTCACCTTCACGTTATTTTCTTTTTTTGGATCACTTTCATTCTTCATGTGTTTCTGTTTATTTCTCTTTCATTTTTAATCTTTGTAACCAAGATTCCTATTAGATGAGCTGTGTTAATGAATGAAACGAATCTCCTAAAATAAGTCAGCCTAATATTTCCAGATAATTTATGTGCAACACTAATCTATTTCTGTATTTTTTTTCTTTAATTAGAAGAATGAGGAAATACGATACTCTATTTTCTCTTATTAATAATTTTTTTTCCGGTCTGTTAAAAATTATTATTTTATTGCCTTAGGTTGTATTTCTCAAAGCGCCAATTGTACTTTCAATTTCAAGATATTAATATGTTCTAAGATTGTTTTAGTTTTGTACATATGTCGATTATTAATACTTCTTTGTAAGCATGATATACTTGAGCGTAATCACTTAGTTAATACTAAGGTTATATGAAATCATATTTTGTCATATCGAAATATGACAACACAAAAAAATTTAATTTCATTCAATAGGTTCATGTGGTAATTATTCCACTTTTGTCTAAATCAACGTCCAATTTCTTCATAATTCAAATATGATTGAGGTGATTTTTTATCTATGTATTTATTTTCTTTAAAAAAAATTCTCGGTATACAAGTAGTCTGTTCATAATAAGTATACAGTTCTTATGTAGCCAAGTTGATATCAATAATACAATATTACATGAACCTTAGTTTATTAATTCATTATTAATCCTCGAATGATTAATGAATTTCTTGATTTTATGACTTTATATGATAGTGGATCTATGATATGATATTTGTTTAGTCTATATCAGGACAAAAGCATAATCATTTATTTGATAGATGCTTAATCTATCTAATATTTTCTTATATTGGTATTATAGCATTCGGCATCGTGCCAGTGTTTTCATCTGAAAGAATGATACCGTCTGTGTATTTTTAGCTGACCAGATCTCCAAGCTAAGTTTCTGTTTTACAAACTACGGCAAATAACAGCACTCTATTCATAAGTCTGCAACACAGTACAACTAGAATGATATTACGTTACACTGACATAATCGACCCTGCGAATGATAACTCATTATAAACTCTGATTCATATGAGATGTATTTATTGCATGTTATATGTCAAGGCATGAATTTAAAGTTATACTTCACCGTGATATCTCGATTTATGACGTCTGGTGTCTTCATACATCATGGGAAAGTGCTATTGCAAAACGTCATATATTAGAACTGCAGCACTGAATATTTATTGAGTGTAGGATTTAAGAAACTGCGCTATTCAAGGTGATCCTCCTGTGTATACTACAGCATTTCTACCCTTTCTGAAAGTTTTACCAGGAAATCCTAACTATGAAAAGACATCACTATATCTACCATCAGGTCGTGATGATTCGCCAATTCCGGCCTTACTATAACCTTTTCAACTTGATGATGAGTGGGGAGGAGGAATGAGTGTCAATATTTAAATCAAATTACGACTGACTCATGGGCAATAGGAATATTGCTTAAACCCCGTTTATCTGTTTATCAAAGTGTTTCACTTAGCGGTTCAGCTATCTGTACAATGGTTTACCTACCGCACATGAAGTTTCATCAGTTTAGTCATCACTCCAAAATAAATATAATTTATGGTTAAGCACCCAACATAGTGGCGTACATGAAACCTTTTCTAAAACGATAAGATCTTATTTGAGCTTTGGTTATTGACGCTGTCCTGTGAATCAGATTTTTTAATTTTTTAGTGGTACACTTAATACTGTATACAACTAATCATAATCAATTTTTCATTAAGCCACCAAAATATTTAGTAATCTTTATCTCATCATGAAGACAAGTACTAATCATCAAAGCATAGAGATTGTGAATTAGATCCTATGATGGTTTGATTGTAAGTGGTAAAATAGATTATCATTCTTTTTGAGTCGTTTATAATTATCTAGTTCGAATATAAATACTGTTTGATGTCTATTTAATGTTTACAATTCTAAGGAAAAGTATTTCCTTTATGTATATGTATATAATGTCCCTCTATTGATTGTCTTTCTACTTATCTGTCCGTTCATCACCTTGTTAAATGAAATACGTAGAGGGATAGTTGTGCATGAGTTAATCCCTGATCCTTTTCAATTGATTACTAGCCAAAAGTTTAAGATTATTTAGAATACCTGGTTCGAACATTTAACTTTCAAATCTGAACAGAATATCAGGTACTCGATTCTGCTAGTAGTCACGAACTAAAATGAGCGTGTTTCCCATTTTTCAGTTTGTTCGCGATGGATTTGTAGTCTTACTTGATATTTTCCTTAAAACTCAAGCAAATACTATATTGGTGTACTGTGGAATTCCCTTCAGTTATTTCCTTGGTAGGTCATATGCTCTCTAGAAATTGTGGGTTCATTGTTTAGTAGTTTACCAGAAATCTCCTCAACGCTTTTTCCGTTTGTCGTGTGTTTTCAACATTTAGCATTACTTAAAAGTTCCAACAAACTGGTAAGCCGGAATATTGCATTCCAAGGGAGTTGATGAAGGTAGAATTACAGTGCATTGTTGAAGGTAGATGTTTCCAACACTATACAATTATCTTGTGCTAAATTATCGAGTGATCTGAACAGCATTAACAATAACCGGGGCTCGCGAACCATTTGTGAAATAGTGCTGTTATGAAATGATAGAATTTCGGGACGATCACCATATGTTTTGAAGAATATAAATTTACACTGTTAGCTAAGAACTGCTATTATGAGAATAGGTCAGATCATTTAGAAGCCCGATGTTGAAGACAGACGACGTCCTGAAACGTTTAGATAATTATTTAATTTATTCATATAGATAATCGTGTGATTTGTTCTCTGAATGTGAATGCAATTACGTCTTGGTTGCAGTGAGTGAGTGAGGGATTTTCTCACTGGCACTATAGAATGCGTGAGGGGATACAAAGTTAGTACAGTATTATAAAATGTCATCAGCCATAAGAACGTACATTTACAAATATACTAGGTCAAAAGCACGCCATGTCCAACGATAAATTTTATTAGCTTAAAGACATCCTGACTCTCACATGACTTAAATGAATGTATATTCTCTGCAAGTAATGGATTCTCTGGACCAAGTAGTTGTGGCAGCACTATGAAAAACAAACTGTATCAGTTAAGAAAACTTTGTATCCTAAAAAAATATCTGGTTTTGCTTAGGGCTAAATTTTAATACATCATCGGAGTCAAGAAAACTGCTTGGAAGTCAAAATTTCAAGCGTTCATGATACAGAATATGTTGAAAACAAAGATGACCATACATTCTTCTTTGGGAAGATATAGTCATTAATCCTATATGTCTGGTGAAAAATTGTTATTTAATGCTAGTATTTCTTCAGTTAACTAAACTACTGTGATCAAACTGTTTAGGTCTACCGCTACATGTTTTTGGGGATTTTATATATCAGATATTTACGTAGTTTACGAAAATAACCTCAAATATGAACTTCCATGGTGTACACTTCTTGAATTGATTCGTTACTGTCAAGCTGAAAGAATGCATCATTTAAATCGATTCTAATGCACTACTTTATCCTTTTCAGTTTTACAAAATTATCTTCAATAATTAGCGTCTGATGCTGAAATGTCGCCAGCCCACCTTTATGATAATTAAAAAGCTAATGTAAGAATAACTAGTTAACTAGTTAGTTTGGTAACAACTATCAGTTTGCCATGATAGATTTTTAAACGTTTATAAATCTTTTAAAACTCGTAATCCTATGTAACCAAAGGTTAGAACTATAAGTAAAGATAGATGGTGACTAGCAGTGGAATCCAGGACGCACGTTTCGTCCTATTGCTTACGCCTCGTAAATGAAGTCAGAAACGTAATTGGAAGCAACGTTTGTCAAAAACCTTTTAGGTTAATGTATATAAGATGTGAGTACCTGATTATGGTAAGATATTCAATAAGTCTCAATTGTGCTTGTTCTATCTATTTCTGATGCTAGTATGAAAAGAATAATAGCTAGTTAGCTAAATTGAACACTTTCTTTTGGCTTTCTGCCTCTGTTCTTCCCTTATCCCACGTGATTTTCCTTTAACGAACGATTATATATCAAACAGTTATACTGTACCACAATGTTCAAACAATCAACTAATTAATGTCTTACACAATAATGTTATTTATTACAGCTAGCTGTGGAATCTTTCTTACCAGTCGAAAAATCCATATCAATTTATTACCACTGATTGGGTAACTCTGAACCAATCATTTTATTTCACTTGATAGGAATTTGACAATCGTTTGATTGCAGCTGATTATTTTGGTTATACTTATTTGGGATATTTAAAAAAATATAAGCACCTTGACCTATGTAGATATCACTCTCAGTATACAAATTATGATTTACGGTCTGTGTGATACAGTTAAATCTCTGGTGTAACCTTAAAAATAATTCCACCATACTGAAAGCAAATCACTCAAAAAGAGTAAATTATTATAAATGGGATAGTGTTTATTTGTTGTTGAAAAATTGACATATTTAAGGAATTACACTTCGGAATAAACCAGAGAAAGCTATCACTAATGTTGCAACCGATTTATTTAAGATTTCATTATTTATTCATCAATATAAAATGCGCTACCATATAACATGCGCAACAAGATTTAAACTCTAAATGTGGACAAAAGGAAAACATGTGATGATCGTTTTTTGTCTCGAAGAAAGCATTAAAATGTCAGATTGGTAGCTATTATAAACATTTCAATTCTTTTTTTACTTTTACTAACTTATCTTTTCTGAATCTCATTCAGTTCGTATGCATATCACTATTTAACTTATAATTGTTTGTATTTTCTCGTTGTTAACTTTATGGGATCCCTTTCACCAATCTCTTTTAGAGTATGTGCGTTTGTAGCAAGAGATACTGGATGTGAGTATAAACACTGATTTGAAAGTAAATTCAGCTGACTAGTCCCTAATAGGACGAAACATGTGTCCCGGATTCCACCGAGAACATCTACTACAACTTTGACTAATTATCATTAGTTCAGTTTGATACTTACATCAATAAATAGGAAGTAAAATAAATTACTGAGAAATATACAGCTTATCGACTATTTTCTACGAATTACAAAATACTTTTAAAGAGAGCAAGAACAAAAATTGGTGCAGAATTGATCATTGACAAAATAGGTCTAAGAGGATAACCTTGTTTATGTATTTTCGGTAATCCATACATGTGGGGCAAACGAGACCCACGAGGTCGTAGATTATTGTAAGTAGAGTTATCGATCATTTTCTTTTTCAGAAGATCTCTGAGTACTTTGGTGATTCTTTTCTCAATGGAATCAGTTAAGTCTTTGTTACTTTTCTCTAACTTGAATCTCATATGGTCATTCAAGATGGACTTCATCTTAAAAACATAATCTGTTTTGTTCATTAGAACAACACTTGAGCCTTTGTCTGACCGTAATATCATTATATCGTCATTTCGTTTAATATTTCGTAATGCTGTTTGGTGGTCTTTGGATAAAAGCTTAGACTGTGGTGCGGGTGAAACAAGATATTGGTTTGCAATATCGACTAGTTTAGATTTAAACCAGCCTTTCTTTTCTTCACTAACTGGGTGCAACTCTTTAATTTGATCAAA